CCCCCCTCTCTCTGCCTCCCGGCATAGACTTGACCATGCGCTCTATTCGGGCTTCATAAGGCGCTAATCGCGCAGCTGTGAAAGCTGTTAACTCCGAGGAACCCTGCGGGCAGCTATACTGTACCGTCTTCACCCGAATAGAACGCACGGTGTTTTTTTTTTTTTAACGCACGGTCATTTTCGCTGGTGGTCGGATGTCGGGTGAGTTGGCTTTAGGGTCAGTTGGTTAGGGTCGATCTGATCTGGGCTCTGTTTTCATAGGGGGTCGATGCTATAGACGGCTGATTTCACCCCAATAGAACGCACGGGCACTATCGCTTGTGGTCGGATTTCGGGTGGGCTGGCTTTTGGCTCGTGTTTTTTTTTTTTTTTTGTCCCGTTTTTTTTTTCAAGGCTCGGCTCGTTTAAGGCGCGGTCGGCTTTAAGGTTGGTCGGAATGAGGGCCGGTTCGAAGGTCGGTCGGCTGCAGCTACCTTCTTCCCCCGAATACAACATACGGTCACTACAGCGGTATATTTGGACTGAAAGATACCCCAAATATACAGCGATAATGACCGTACGTTCTATTCGGGGGAAGAAGGTAGACTGCTGTCTTCACTCGAATAGAACGCACGGTCATTATCGCCGGTGGTCGGATTTCGGATGGGTTGACGTGAGGCGCTTATGGTTTTAGGGTCGGTTGGATTTAGGGTAGGGTGTGCAAGTCTTCTGACTAGAGGGGTTTGGAGGGTGCCGCGTAGGGAGGGGTAGACGTAACAAGGGTATAGGAATTATGTCCACACACAGACGGAGAGAGAGAGAGAGAGAGAGAGAGAGAGGAATTATGTCCAGGCACGCGCACACACACACGCACACACACACAGAGAGAGAGAGAGAGAGAGACGGTCGCTTGTGATGGAGCGGATTCCATGTTCGAAGTGGCGACGGAAGACGGTACTGTTCGTGATCGTCGGTTTGTCATCTCAAGAAAGAGCGCGAGATATATTAAAAAAAAAAAAGTGCGAGAGATTCGTGCAAGCCCAGTATGGGCCGTATGGCCTGCTTGCACTTGAGTCGTTTGTTTGTTTTTTCCCAAATAAATGCCTTAGGTATCGTAACAACAACTTAACAAAGACAAGCACCAGCTTGATTATCAGGACCATCAGCAGTTGCAGAGGTGCCAGAAATAAAATTTACAACTTAAAGCGTTCGTTAAGAGAGGAAGAGAGGAAGAGAGGAGGAAAATAAAGGGCAGAAAAAAAAGGAATGGAGGGAGACCCGTAAAGGGAAGGGTAAGGGAAGGAATTTTGTACGGGRGARAACCCYCCCCCCCCCCCCCCCCCCCTCCCTTGAGGAAAAAGTAGGCCTAACCTTAACCACCTTACCAAGGCTAGGGCATACTGACACTACGACCTGTCTTTTTTTTTCTTTTTTTTTTCCCAGTTTAAGAGGGCTGCCCTGCGCCCTTCTGCAGTGCAATACAAAGGCGAACATTGGAGGGGTAGAGTAAGTAAGCTTACCCCGTATGACCCCTCTGTGGCCTCTGTTGCCCGAAAGTGGTTTCTGCTGCAGACCGACGAAAAACGGATCTCTGCGGGTCTTTCATTTTGGTCTGGTAGTCTGAGCCCCTAAGAGCATATGGCAGGGAAAAGTACTGGTGGTTTAAAATTTAAACTTGAAAAGCCTTTTTTTGTTTTGTTTAAGTTGAATTAACTTGAATACATATTTTTGGAGATCGTGACAGTGACAGTGCTTATTTTGTCAGAGAATGCGATCTCTGCCTCTGCCTTGTCGTCTTTTGCTTTTGTTTTGTTTTCATTTTGTTTCCTTTTGTGTTTTCCATCTTCTGCTTTCAGGTCTGTGGGTGAGGGCGATGGCGAGTTCGCTCGCCGTGAGTTTGGCCTCGCTGATTTGTCTAGCTATTCTGCCGTTCATTCTTGGTATGTGCGAAACCTCGCTCACCCTCCTCTAACCCTCTTGCAAATGGCTCCCAAATTCATTTGATCTTTTGCGCCTTCCTCCCTCCTCCCCCCCCCCCCCCCCCCCTCCTTAGGCAGACGTTTTTTCTTACTCACGTTCGGCATCATACTTGTTTTTCCATCACTCTTGCCTGGATGTATCTGACTTTTGTTCTTACGCACCTTTACATTAGTCAACATCTGTCATTTGGTCAACAATCTGGTCAACGATATGGTCAACAATCTGGTCGACAATCTGCTCAACAATTTGGTCAATAATCTGCTCAACAATTTGGTCAACATTTTGGTCAGCATATCTGGTCAACATTTTGGTCGACAATCTGGTCAAACTTCTGGCCTTCAATTTGGTCCACAATCTGGCCAACGATTTCGTGAACAATCTGGTCAACAATTGGTCACACCAGATAGTCAACATTGGGTCAGCGATCTGGTCAACGATGTTGTCAATTTGGTTGACAATCTGGTCAGCAATTTGGTGGACACTCTGGTCAACCATTTGGTAAACAATGTTGTTGAGAATTTGGTCAACAAAATGTGGTGGATGGTTTTGTGAGCAATTTGGTCAACGATTTTGTTGACAAATTGGTCAACAATTTGGTGAGCATTTGGCATGGTTCAACAGTCTGGTCAATCAATGTTTGGGGTTTGGTGAACGGTTTGGTCAAACTTTGGGATTTCATGAACAGCTCGGTCAACCTTTTGGGATTTGGTCAACCTTTGGTATGTTGTCAAACAGTTCAGGCATTTATGTCTATGTGAGTGTAGGTCATGTGAGAGTGGAGTGCACGCTTGCTATTTTGGTGGACATCTGCTGAGCCTGCACCCGCCCTGTATCTCCACTTGATGATGATATTGTTGCAGCCTGGGGGAAAGGGCCGTCGCAACGGGCTGTCGACTTGCTGGCAGCATTTGGGGTGAGTTGTTCTGGAGGGCCTATGCTCATGCTGGCATCATTGCCTGGTGCACCCCTTTCCTTCCCCTCCCATATGTCACACTCGTTGATGTTTTGTCAATCAGTCTCAATCAGTCTCGCATCACTTTGTACCCAAGCTCCTAACACGATGTGATAATTCAAGCTCTGCTGAAATGCTTTCAAAGCCCGACAGGGAGCGACCCATTTCCCAATTCGTCCTCGTCATTGCTGTGGCATGCTAACTTTGACTGTATCGTTCCAATAGAAACGGATGTCATTAAGGAAAAATAAAGAAACGAATGTCATGACGGGAACTTGGGAAAATTTCCGTATATGTCCTGCCGAAATTCCAAATTGCCATATGGTGTGTAAGAGAGAGAGAGAGAGAGAGAGAGAGAGAGAGAGAGAGAGAGAGAGATGTGGTACTTCGTTATCAGGCTGAACGGTGGATACCTTTTGAGTGCTGATCCATAAGCTGAGAGTTTGAAAGCTCCTGCATACAATTATTACAGTTACTGCGTGCTTGCGCACGCGCGCGCGCGCGCGCGCGAGAGAGAGAGAGAGAGAGAGAGAGAGAGAGAGAGAGAGAGAGAGAGAGAGAGAGAGAGAGAGAGAGAGAGAGAGAGAGAGAGAGAGATGTGGGACCTCGTTATCAGACTAAGCGGTGCACACCTTCTTAAGTGCCGATCCATGAGATGAGAGTTTGAAAGCTGCTGGATAAGATTGTTATAGTTGTGATGCAAAGGTTGTCCCACTGTAGAAGAAGGAAAGACGGAGAAGGGAGGTAGTCAGATGGCGACATTTTTCGTGTTTGTGCTCTGGGTTGCAGGTGGGCGCAATGCTTGGGGACGCCCTTCTGCATCAGCTACCTCATGCGTTTGGTGAGTCGGCTGGTCTCTTTCCCAGTTTCGCCCGTCTTTTCCATTTTATGTGTTTTTTTAACTTTTTCTTTATTTTATGCGTTTTGCTACTTCTGTTCAGGCGGATCGGGGGGTCATCAGGATTTTCATCACTATTGCGCCTTTTGACTAAGTTGTCCTGGTCATGGAATTCTGATATGTTGTTCAAGGAAAATGGGAGAGAGGGAGAAGACCTGGGGGCTGGAGGGCAGGGGGAGGGTGGGGGAATGCGAGGGAGAGGAGGGTAAAGAAGAATAGACCTAATAGTATATGTTCATGTCATTTGAATGAAGTGTTTTGATTATGGGCTGGAATTAGTCTGTAGGCACTGGACTCAGGTTCTCATGCCTGTACAGTAGTGGGCCTTAGGATAAATTTGGCAGGCCCAGTGCTTCCTATCTCTTTATTCACGTGCTATTCACTGGTCCTATCGTTTCAAGGATCTCATCGGCACCAGAGTATCTATCGGCACACATTGACCCCAGGTGATATTAATCGTATCCTGTAAAAGTAGTTGCGTCACACAGTATCAATCTGGTCAATAAGTGCGGATAGATACCTGCAGACCGCCGAACTGGGTACTGTTGTAGTTGCGTTGCACAATACTAATCTATTCAAACTTCAAATGCCACACATCATACTGCAATATGCAGCTGTACGCCACAGCACTTGGGCTTGTAAGTTGTTGTGCCGTACCTGAAGACAGCAGAACTGGATACTGTTGTATGTACACCGTGTTGTCGACTGTCCTTGGTACATGTGTGCTGCGAGGAACATCCTGTAAACCTCCACCACCTTTCCCAGGCATCGTCGAGAATCGAAACTGTACCTAGCTAGCATTCCGGGTTCTTCAGATGCTCGGGGCTACCGGACCCCGATGGCTGGTGGTGCCTGCCAAAAGGAAAGAAAAAACGCCGCCCCGGCGCTTTGGCAAAGCTTTGCGCTCGGGGGGAATCTGCCTCGCCGAAAAGAGGAGGCTCGGACGTACTGGTGGTCTGAACCACCAGTCCCTCCAAGCCTCTTTTTACTGACCGAGATTCCTGCTGATTGCGTAAAAAGGATGAATAGGCATTGGTGCAATTTTTTTTTCTTTTTTGCCTGCTGCCTCCAGCCTTTTCCTTGCGGTAGGCCGATCCACTGTTATTGTGCGGGGTGAACCGCTGCATTGGAAGAAAAGTACGCCACTTTGTCTGCTGTCCTTGATACATGTGCTGAAAGGAAATGGCCTTGAAGTGTATCTGTTGTACATGTCCTCCTCCTCCTCCCTCCATCTGCTCTTCCTCATAGTCGTTGTCATTGTCATCGTGACAAACTAACTCCTATACCCTCCCTATCAGTGCAGTACCCTGCTTGCTCTCCCTCTGATGTTTTCTTCCCACTTATGTTACTCTTGTCATCATCTATGTTGGCAGCTATCAGGGGTAAGAGCAAGTGAGGGGGAGGAAGCGGAGGGAGAGGAGAAGATTGTGGTCGACGTTTTGGACGGCCCTTGATCTCCTCCCCCTCACTTTCTTTGCCTGTGTTCCCCTTGTGTGGCCTCGTCATTTTCACCATGATGAGGATACTGTTTTGGTATACTACCTGGTTATCAGTGTTGCAACCGGTGTCATATATGATACTAGAAACGAAACGAGGGGTGATGAAAGAAGACGACGGACGGAAATGGTACTCGACATGCTTTGCAATGTAAGCCCCTGCCTGTCCTTCTTGTCTATCCTTGTCCATTTCGTTTGTCATTGTGATCATCCTTGTCGTTGTCCACATCCTCGTCCTGGTCGTGACTACTGTCCTCCTTACTACACCTGAAGAGAACTCACCACGGCCACACAAGATTACAATAACATCGCCCACGTCCTGAGGAATGTGGAGGTCCTTTGGAAGAGCTGTGCAACACGACTGTGACCAAACAGCCTAGAGTTGGCGTCAGGTGTAGTTGGAGATGCATCTGTGCACATCATGGCTCCTCTTCCGTGAAGTCGCAATGGTGGTAGGTGGGTGGGTGCACGTGCCTGGGTTTTGTGCAGAGAGCCAGCGAAGTCCGTTATTACCCAGATGGGAAAACAGCTTAGTTGGTTAGATTGCTGGTCTGTCATGCCAGAAGTTTCGGGTTGAAATCCCGTTTTTCTCGGGAGGTATGGCCGAGTGGCGCAAGGCATTGGTTTGCTAAATCAACATACAACAAGATTGTATCATGGGTTGAAATCCCATTTCCTCCGTTCCGTTGGGGTCGTAGTTCAAGTGGTAGAACGCGTGTTTTGCAAGTATGAAGTTAGGTTAGCGGTTCAAGTCCGATTGTCTCCAATTTCCCTGTGAGCCCACGTAGCTGTCAACAGGTCTCCGTAGCTGCCATGTTTTCAAGGGTGTTCACTGTTCTTACATGGCCTCTAAGGAACACCACAAACTGGTTGGACTCCTTTTCTTTCCCTCATACATCCAAGAGCCAGGCCTCACTGGGCTGGTACAATTTTCTCTCTAAGAAGGTATGCCGCTGGCCAATGCTTACAACCATGTTCATGCTTCGGCATACAAACATTGCATGAGTGGGGCATTGCGTGCCACAATAGGCATAAAAACTTGGACTGAACTGGCGTACTTGTCCATGGGAATGGTCTCTGCCTGTACTGAGCTGGTTCACTGGATGTCTGCGCGTCGTTTGGGCATGTCTATGCACGCTTCTGCTATGTTCGGTGGCATGCCATATTCCCTCTAAAGGAAACTGGTAACATTCTCTTATCGTGGCACGCAATGCCTTTTTCCCATTTTGTCCGTCTTGTCGGACATCCATGGCGAATTCTTCTGGGCCTTTTCCTGCATGTGCTGGGAGTCCAGTCATTCTCCTGTTTACTCGTTCCTCCGGAGCTGCGCTATGCCATTGAGTAGGCTGATGCTCAGCTCCCTGCCGCTGCACTAAAGCGGGACCATCCTCATCCTTGCAAATGAAGTCGATAATGTACATTCCATGGCTCACAGAATTCCATGAGGAGTCTCTCTCTCTCTCTCTCTCTCTCTCTCTCTCTCTCTCTCTCTCTGTCTCTCTCTCTGTCTCTCTCTCTGTCTCTCTCTCTGTCTCTCTCTGTCTCTCTCTCTGTCTCTCTCTCTCTCTGTCTGTCTGTCTCTGTCTGTCTGTCTGTCTGTCTGTCTGTCTGTCTGTCTGTCTGTCTCTCTCTCTCTTTTGTAAGATGGCTGGAAGAGGGTTTCTGCCATTATTATTCCATTCTGTGTGTGTTGGTTTACGGATGGGAGAAGGAACATAATCCAGTATGTGATTGTGATTTACTTTTGCCTGTCGAACTCTCCTCACTGCCAGTGCATTTGATGATGTTGGGAGCAACTGTGTAGAAGAAGCAAATGTAAAAACGCTGAGCACCTTCATGCTGCTTTGATGATGTGTTATTGCTTCGGGATCTCTCCGAGTCTACTACTTACTCCTGTGATGATTGGTTGCTATGCGTTGTGTGTCTTGTGTTTGTATGTGCGCCTGTCGGTGCTGATGGAGACAGGGAGTGGTGGGCACTCACATGCACATGAGGATCATGGGCACGATCATGGGCACACCCACTCTCACTCTCATACACATGCACACCTGCATACTCATCTACATTCGCATTCGCCGTCACATGGACATAGTGCGGCAGGCGCTCATGCGCATTCTCTAGCAGACCTCTCTGTTGGCCTGTCTGTTTTAGGTGAGTTTCGGCCTCATTAATGATGCCCTTTTTCCGACTGCATGGAAACAGCTTTCCTTTTCACAAGTACTACTTCGGGTTATTCTTCGAGTAGATCTTTACACGGAAGCAGGCAAAACCGGCTAATCAAAAACAATTGCAGATAACGGGAATCGAGCCCGAATCCCCAGCTTGGAAGACAGACAGGTAACGATGTCCAGTAGAGGAACCTGTGATGGAGCAACAACGGAGTCCCGACTTCTTGCATTTCCTTGTGTCTCTGGAATTGGAAAAAGGAAAAGGGTGGGGGTGAAGCTGGGTGGCAGGGACGAGTTGTCACAAGTGGGGAGTGTGTGAATCTCTCCCTCTCTCTCTCCCCCCCTCCCTCTCTCTCTCCCCTTCCCTCTCCCTCTCCCTCCCTTCCTCCCTCTCTCCCTCTCCTCTCTCCCTCTCTCCCTCTCTCCTCTCTCCTCTCTCCCCCTCTCTCCCTCTCTCCCTCTCTCTCTTTCTTTCACGGACCTGCTTTTCAAGTTCCTATCTGGTGGAATCAGATAGTTCGAGCTGCAGGTGAGATTCCTAGATTCCTGCAGCCTGCATCTTTGAGCACATGACTTGGTAGGGGCCCAGGGTGCTTCATCTGCACATGACTCATGTCCTGGACATCTTATGGGGCCAGGCTCTTCTTGGTTCGGGTGGGGACTGATGCTGTTTGGTTGATTGGTCCTGTGGACTGGAATCCCTGTGGTCAGGCTCAGATGGTGTTGACTGTGGATGGTATTCTCTCAGGGTCTCTGTGATTTGGAGCGCAATGCGCATGGAATAATAGGGTGACCCTGGAATAATAGGGTGACCCTGGAATAATAGGTTGACTCTGTGATTTTGGTGGTAATGCTTCTGGTGCTGTGTGGGGGTTTCACAGTGTGGCCTCTTGTGTTTACAAGTATCCTTCCTATGGAGTGAGTGCATATTCCTGTGCTGTGGGAAGGTCGTGTCGACAAGGGGCATTGATGAACTGTGCTTTGCGTCATAGGAATGTTGGAGGTTTAAGCGTTTAGAGTCTTTAGACTCTATTAGGGTTATTTGGTGACGGGTTCTGATTTCTTGTGTTGGTCTGATGCTTGCTCATGTTGGGTGCAAGTGAAGTTTATGTGGTTGGTGTGCAAGCACCTGGGGCTCTTCATCTCCCTCCTCAACTCATGTTGTTGTAGTTAATGAGCAGGAACATGCGCAACATAAAGTACTGTGAATTCGTCGTATCTGCTTAATATCTGTCCAATGGTGCCTATGTGCACTTGTGCATTTTTTTGTCTTTGAATGCACTGGGTTGTTGAATTCCCCTCTCCTTGTGGTCCCCCCCCACCCTCCCCCTTCCCCCTCCTCCCGTCACTTGATTTCTCAGGTAAGTCGCTGTATTGCGTAACTTTGATCCATTTTCATCGTTTTAGCTACTTTATCGAAACGGTCACCACTAATTTAGTGAGCGGCGTCAAATATTGCTATGGATTGCTTTTTTTTTTTTTTTTTTTTTTTTTTTAGCCTTTTTTGAAGTTTTTTTTGCAAAGTAGGTATGGTACCAGTTGCCATAACTTATTATGAACTGCCTTTCAGTTACAATTGAAACATTTTGTTCGCGTGACGAACTTGAGCTTCGAAGGGTGGTTGTGATTTTATCCTATCCCTCAATGAGTGAACTGACCGTGTTGTGGATTTAATCATCCTCCAATGAACATATGCTAATACCTCTAAAGGTACGGCGTCGGTGATACATTCAAAATCAGGCCCAGACCGCTGAAAAAAAAACCACCAACAACACCTCAATTTCGTCACGCCAGCAAAATATTTCAATTTTTTTCTATAACTAAAAGGAAGATTATGATAATAACAGATACCCCTCTGATCTTGGACCAAACCCTGATACATGTACGACGACAGCAAATATGGCCGTGCCCGCCCGGTTGTGTGCTTGGCGGAGAAGGGTGTTTGGTAGTTTCCTTGGTGAATTTCCAGGTATTAAACTTTCCGGTCCGTGTTGATGAGGATGTTGATTCTTTTGTCATTTCTTTTTGTGCTTTGTTTTTACTCCCTAGAGTGCTTCTGACTGAAACTAGGAAATAGTCGGCATCTTTTTGTTTTTTGTGGTTGAGAAGATTGTGAGACGCACAGAGGAGCTGGGAATCTCCTCCTCTCATGCGCATGGGCATCGTCATAGCCATAAGCGGAAAGCGCAAGAGCCTGCTGAGCTGGTGGATGGGAGCACAGAAGCCAAGGAAAGTGGTGCTGTGTCTGACAAAGCACTAGGCGACGATAAAGGTGATTCGAAAGGCAACAAGTCTGATGAGGGTAATGGGGAAGAAAAAGACAGAAAGGAGGGGAAAGCGCGTAGAAAGAGAAAAGGAAAGAAGGAGGAAGGCAAGGACAGTCAGGAAGCGAGCGAACGAGGTATAGTTGAGGGGTGTGAGAATGGCAATGGCGATTCAAATGCAAAGAGCGAACCGGAGAGGGGAGGCAGCAAAGCAGAGAAGAACGATGACAACAGTGCGTCAGTGGATACCAGGCCAATCAAGGAGGACGATGACGACTCTGGTGTAGCGAAGAAGGCGGACGAGACAACTGTGGAAAAGCAACCTGCTGGTATTCGGCGAAGACGTAAGGTGAGGAGTCCCTTGATGCTTTTTCAAACTGCTTTTTGGGTGCTTCCTTGGTCAGCTGGTTGCCAAGTTTTGTCTCTTCGCTGTGTGCGCGCTTTTTTCTGGGACTATCAAGTTTTGGTGTGTGAGTGTCGGGGTATTCGTTGCACTCAAGGATTTACTGTACGCAAACCACTGGACTTAGCATCTATGTAGAGTCCGCTACCTCGTGGAAACACCGCGATTATAGCTAAAATCCGATAACACCACGAATAAGTAAAACACAAACATCGAAAGTTCGAAACCAAATATCAGCTAAGTAAAACACAAGCATCGAAACCGAATATCTGCTCTGCTTTTTTATCTTTCTGGTCTGCTGATTAGTAGTGTCTGTAATTCTTTTATGATGGAAATTGCTGTGAAATTTGTTTGAGACAGTGAACATGATTCCACTGATGTGAGGGATGCTGGACCCGATTGATTCCCGGCTATGACAGGGTTGCATACCTGCCAACTGCCAACCCCGACCGCTGACCGTTTTGCAGCTGACCAGTAGGGCTGACCGGTCGGCTGTCTGCAGAGCAGTGCCGACCGGTCAGAAAACAGCCATCCACTACTTTTTTTTTTTTTTCAATCTGAGTTGGGGGCTGTACTGCGCTTGCTGAGTACAGCCCAAATCCGCTGAGAAACTTTTGGGG